CGTGCTAATGAGCGTGATTGCACTCTCGGTTGCGTTTCGTTGAATAAACAGATACGATTAATTGATAAAGGAACAGAGCCGCCGGGTAGCTTCCCCCTCCCTCCCCCCCCGTTCCGCGCGCCCGTGGGGGAAGTTTTATGGATTCCTGAAATGTTAAGTTCTAAACTAAGTTTCGCCGCGGAATTATGGATTTATTATTTGGTAATTATTTAGCGAGATCGCGCAACTCCGCGGGGGAACTCAATTTAAAACTTCGTATTCCAGAAATCTATTAAGTCTCTTCTAACAAACGTGCGGCGCGGTCCCTCGTCCCAGGCAGCGCGAGAAATGCGACAGGCGAGCCATCGGAAGTTACGGATTATCGGAGTTATTTAAAGAAAGCTGGAATCGGAGAAACGAAAGAATATCTTCACTCATTAGGAGAAGGGGCGCACAGGCGATCCGTTTATTGTGTAAAATATCTTGTCGCTCTGTACAGTAGTTTTCAACCGAAACAGCCCGCGCGATACTGTATGTACGCATCACCCGACGCGTATGCACCGGGAAAGAAAAAGTGTGTTGCATAAAAAAAATATTTCTTGATCCAACTATGTATGCGGCGGTCGCGGGCTGCCAAGCAAATATTTGTTAACTCGCGAAAATATTTGTTAGCTGAAAAAAATATGTACTCCGATAAATGGCGCGTGTTTAACTTAAAAAACGTACATATTTGAGCTGAAGAAATACCGCCGGCTTACAATCAGCCATATCGACAATCGTCTTTTTTCCTCAGCGCGTACGGACGTCTCAAAAGCCAAGCCGATCGGCTTCGCTTCGTTATATATAAATTGCTTTAAAGATACCTTCAAAATACCCGTCGTAAAGTTTTTAACTTTAGTACCAGCGTGATTAGATTATAAATCAATTCTCTCTGCCGTTTTATTTCGTGGAGTTAATCAGTTTGGTTGATATACGCGCGTAGTTAGTACGGATGACGCGGCACATTTTAGCGTGTCTCTCTTAAAAATATTCCGCGGACGTCTCGTGCTCTTATGCGGGACGTATCTCAGGGACGTTACGATCCTCCAACGAGATATCCTGACGAGGCTCCGCGGAGTCTCTTCCGCTACGCGGGATATATCGTCCAGTAAAATTCCGGATACAACCCATCAAAAAGCATACTCTCTTCGGATTTATCTGTCCTTGGAGTATCTTTTATCGGACTTAGACTTTCGCCTGGTGATGCAATCAAAAGTTAATAGCACCAGAGAAATGAGAGGTGAATGCTTCGTGAAGAGCAAAAGGGCGATATCGATTCTACCAATTGCCAAGTTGTAATTTGTATCGGGGGAATAGGGGCGCGAACATCACTGTTAACCGAGTTTGCCGTTTCGTAGTCTATTTCCGCGATGAAGGCCCCGCGTCAGCGATTCCAACCGCATTACGCCTTTGTTGATGTTCGATTTCAGCTTCACCTGCTAATTTCGGCAAGTAATCGCATTTATTTCCACGCTTATTCCAGATCGAACGAGGCTAGACCAAACTTGTGTTGCCTCAGATGTTTAATGCACGCTCATCCGTTTCGTCTCACCCCGTAGCTCTAACTGCTTGAAATAATGCACGCAAATATATATATATATATATATATATATATATGCAGTAATTTATTGTACGAATTACGAATTTAATTTCAACGATTAATTCCTCGCTAACAACTGAGCAGCTGGATAGTCGTAAAGGACGAGACGAAATGGACGACGTTGCATTAAATATACGTTTTGAGAACACCTTTTTTCAATGTTCTCTTTTTGTCCCTGGCAACAATTTTGCATTGTGTTTTAGTAAAAAATATTAAGGAGAGTCAGTGAATAAGAACAGAAAGTACTGGAGTATAATTTTATGAATTTTTAGTGTTTAACCTAGAGTTAAATGTTACTATTATTCTATACTTTGCATCTTCATCAAATCGACAAACGAGACAACTAGAGTATGCAAATCAGAGAAAATGTGAAACGTTTGTGTTACTCGTATCTCATTAATCTTGGGGCGCATTGCGATGATATATGAATACTATCTGTATAAAAGTAATTTATTATGGCAGTATATATAGAAGGATAAAATAGTAACATTACTATATCCAATAATGTAGTATCAATAATTAATCACTGCAGTGCGATATTATTGCACTTGCGAGCCAACAGTGATGCAACCTCGTACTATTTCCTCAATATTTCCTTAAAAAATATATATGAAAAAATAAAATATTTATTAAAACTATACCGACTAAACAAGAGTTAAAGAGAAAGAATAGTTTATAATTATCTTATTTATTGCACTTGTTTCTTGCGAATGTACATCTGCAAATTTAACGTGTCCCTCGATTTTAAAATGAAAGACGTCGCTCTTAACACAGGATGAAATCTACTTCCGATAAGTTGCATCTCGTTTTCGATGAATATGCGTTTCTTCGGAGAAACGCGCAAACTAATGGAACAGCGTCGCGATTCCATTGTCAATTTAATTTCTCCTGTCGTAAAAATACATTTGTGAGATTGCAAATTGATTAAAAGTAACAACTCTCTTTATCAGTGCAATAACATAAAATAAAAATACACTTTATGTTAGTTCTAAATTACGTCGGAACAGTAATTATTACTACAAAGCCAATAGATTTCCCATTTATTATGTTATAGTCGTGAAATATATTTTACTAGTATTATGTGAAAAATTGCATAATATGCGAATTCTGATATAATTACAAGTTACAATGTTTGAGATTAAACAGCGTTTCTGATGTTAACCTGGTCTCCACTATGGTGTATCTGAAAAAATTCGGATAAGGTGAACGAGTAAGAAAACAGCTGTTTCGGTTTACATAATATATTTACATAATATATATGCTAAATTTATACATTCGATTACAATTATTATAATGTATAAATTACTGCGCGAGAATTGTAAGACGATATATAATCTTAGGCGTATAGTAAAAAATGTGTTCTCTACATTATTAATTTCTGAAATATTCAACTTCATTATTTACAATGCACCTAAATCAAGGACACTTGTTTTGGCATATCATGCGACTCTCATTATTATCTAACTACTTTCTGCAATGAAGGCAAAGGAAAGTTGCGAAATAAATCGATTACGCATGAAGCGTGGTCGACGCGTTCCAATGCAGTTGACCCGCTAGGTTTTGTTTATATTTTTTAATATCTTTACAGCAGATTGGAAAATACGCACAAGACAGGTGTCCGAGTATAGATATTCTGAATTTTCTACGTGTGTCACAAAAGGACTCGCGTGAATAGTAGTATATCTTATATCGAGCCTTACATCGAAAAATTGCAGCAATCATTTACGATTTATTAATTTGTATATTATGTCAAACCAACTACGCGATACCAGATTAATTAATGGAAACTGATATGTGTAGAAATGTTTTTCTTCCCGCGGTCCGTACCGCTATTAACGGCTATTATTTATATAATAATAATATTATAAATAGGTAGCGTGTGCTTATTTCGTGTGTGCACGCACATGACGTTTCAAAAAAGCACACTTCCGCTGTTACGGGGGTACATTTCGTTATTACAAAGTATAAGGTACCATAGTATAAGGTACAAGGTACCATCTCTCACTGGTTTGAAATAAGACAGAGCTATACGCAAAGTCGGAATCTTAATAAATAGTCCAAAACAGGAGGCACAAAATATTAGAGGATACGAGAGACGAAATCAAGTGAAAGATACGTCTCGAATTTATCCCTTTCGCGAATCAGGCACATATACAAAATACATTTCATACAATACAAGGTTTATTCGTACTCGTTATCATACTCAAGGCACTAATTATATTTATCATAAGATGACAAGAGGCAATATAATTGCTGATATAAAACTGTATAAGCTCTTACAAGCAGTGACCAAAATACTTTCTTCCAGTTTTCTCTGCAGTCTTTTGCGATTCTCACGCTGGTTTTCTTCAATCAATCAATATACATGCAATGGATAAAAAGTCATATCGATACCATATTGACGGATTTCCCTCGCGACTCATGTGGTAATGCTTATAAAAAATTAAATGTCGCTCGTACGAAGTTATAGAATATTAAAGCTTGATTCTCTCTCGACATTTTATTACTTTAGTAGCACTGGTATCATTCTGTAAAAACAGATAGGAGAAAATATATTGATTGAGTAAAGACTGGGAAAGATTGCAGGCGAAGAAATCATTCTGTGCCTATAAGATTTTCCGCCAAGTACTTTTAATAATCAATTATTCTGCAATTAAACTAAATATTTATTCTTCTTTTTATTTCATATTAACCGTTAAAAAATAAACTTTAGTTAGTCTTCGAATAATGGACTATCAAAAAAATGCTAATACGTAGAGCCAGAATATACAATCATGGCTATACGAAACACTTAGGAATATTTGAGTTACAATACAATAGCGAACACGTGTGGACGCATCTGTAAAACAATATATATCCGTAAAACCATAAATGGCCTGCTTTCAATTTCACAAACAAAGTTACAATGGCAAGATGTTGCTGTAGGCAACGCAAGATCTCTGCAACGGTAATAATTAACTATTCATGTTGCTGGAGAAACTCAAATTTTTAACAAAATAATATATATGTAAAAAAATAAAACACTCATTTAGAGCGCTGTGAAAACCTCAAGACTTTATGATGATGTACGTCTGCAATCCGTGAATTAATGCTCATTGCGCATTAAACATTATTTATTTTTTTTACATACCGTAATTATTTTTTACGTATAATTTTATTTCAAATCAAATCATGCTTTTTGAATGAATTGCTTAATTATCGCTGAATTAGTTGATAATCAATAATATTTCAGAACATGTGCAAGAAAAATCTCACAAACTAAGAATCAAAATGAATAATTAATGCTATAGAGACGGCAAATTGTCGATAGCCTGTTACTTTTATGTATAGTAATTACGTAAAGAAGAATTTATGCAAACGTGTGGATTAAACAGATTGGAAATTTTTCATTTACATAGCAATATACTAGCAATAATCATTAAATGGGACACAGAGAAAGATCGTTTGCATATTATTTAAAGAATATTATTGATTATATTTAGAGTACTATTATTTTCTTCCTTATGTAATTAACTGTATCGAAAAAAGCTATATGTTTCTCGTTGTTCAAATCCTTATTTTCAATAATTTTTAACAATTCATTTTTTTCTTGATACAGTCACTTATTCAGAATTATGAAAAAGTACAAAGATAGAAAATTGTATAAATATTTGTGAAATAATACAGATTTTATGAATGTCTGTTCTTATTTCAATTCCATATCCGTGTTAAAAAATTATGGAATTTCTATTTTTTTGTGCGTTTAGCTTGAATGAATTTCGGACGTATAAAATATTAGTAAATTGTGCGTTGTCTCTTCTCATGATAAACCCAATTAAATCACAGGTCATTAAAATATAATCTTATCTAAGCAAACCTATCAAACTCGTAACAATTGACAATATTTCCGTTATTAAGTATATTGGCTATATTGGCACATAGCAGGTATGCATTCGATCATTAGTGTTTAACAATGCTTTCATTTCTGAATATGGATGTTTTTCACATGTACGCCAGACTTTATTTGGAAATGTAATTTTACTTTAAACATGTGTGAATATCTTTAAGCCTTATTAAAAAAATCTATAGCACCGGTTCTTCGTTGATAAATGATCAAAATTAAATAAAGCTGCAAATTATTTTTATAGTTCAAAGTTCAGACTTCCTCTGTATGATTCCCGCTGAACAAATTCTAATAAATAGGAAAACAGAAATGAAAAAAAGTAGTGAGTAAAATGTTGAAGTTGCAACAAATTTTGATGTCACAAATATTAAAACCATTATTCTTATTAGTTGGAGGACAGGTTTATATCATGCTGTGATTAGATGTTAGCATACTTGCCTACACTTTTAACCAAGGGCAAATGCTTTGTCTATTTCTGGCATTGAAATTGCGAATGCAATGGGATGTATTAATGAGACATTAATGTTATTCTTTTTTACAAATTATTGGTACATTTATTAAGAAAAGTTTTTGCACATGCCTGCAGTGTCTACCAGTATAAGTCTGGCTTTGTTGGTCATTAAAATGATGTTTAGAAAAAATATTTCCAAAGCAATGTAATTTGAAGATATATCTCTTAGAGTAATTCAATTGACTCGACGCGAAGAGCGAACTGTATTTATATAAAAAGAGGATATTCTTTATTGTATCTTATCAATGAGTACGTGCGGAAGCTAAGAAGGCATCTAGAATAATTACAAGAGATAATACATAAAATAAATAAAAGATATTAATAATAGTAATATAACAATAACTAGGCATTATTGGCACTAATAACAGTAATATCATTTTTATAATGATGTATCCGAGGATAAGGCGGCATTCATGAAACTGAACTCTATTATAAAAATAGTAATGATGAGAGAAATGAAGTAATCATAATTATTTGAAACAGAACTGTGATGATGAAGAAATGTTACAGCACGTCTCGGGTCTTCTCCGTTAGATATAATTAATGTCTTAATCACTATAGACGATATATATTAATTTAACATACCACAGTGTGGTTTGTTAAAAATGCACGTCTCTTTGTTCAGAATACTAAATGACTGTAGTAAAAGGAAGTATGACTCCTTGCATACTAATTACAACCTTCGCAGCGAAGCCATACTGAGAGCCTTTCGAGTCGGTTGATCCGACATCGGCGCTACCAGAACATCCTCTCTATTTGGAGAACTTGAACCACCATTATCCAGTTCCTGGAAAGATACAAGACTTAATATATTTATTCTTCAAAAGCATCAAATTGAAAACTAAAGCAATAAATTTCAGTCGATAAAAAATTAATGTATTGAATTACTAATGTATGTATTATCAGTAGTTTAAAAATAATATAGAAAATGTGATAATTTAGTGACATAAGATTTTATAAAGATTAAAAAAGAACGAGAAAATAGAAGCTGCCATATAAAACTGCAATATAATTATGAATTAGATTTCTTAATTTTATTTGATATTATAAAAATATATACAAATATATTATCCTCCAGTCTACAACAGATTTCATGCAAGGAATGAAAACAATCAATCTTATGAAATTAAACAAGTGTTCGAGTTCAATATAATAACGTACTTACGTAAAATCCTTAATATAGTTCGTCCAGTGACTTTAAGTCAGCATGAAAGTTTATTATAATTATTAATTTACTCTTTTCATGAAAATAATAAAATAACAAAAATAAATTGCACAAGTATTGCAAACAAAAGTAGTAATGTGAGATAAAGCAGATGTTCAAACAATATATAAATGATACAAAATATTGCTCTTAATAGATTGGACAAAAACAGTTAAAAAATTGCTGATACATATTACTGAAAAAATTATATTTTGCTACAAAATATTGTACACTTAATATAAAGATTTAAAATATTTAATGCAAATTATTATAATCATTTTTTAAAATATAAAACTATCTTGTATTCAAAAGTATTTTAACTTAAATTTTAATATATGTATGGTATATAACAGAAAGCAAATCTTACAAATATAAACTAATTTAGTTTCTTTCATAATTCATCTCATATGTAAGGTATATTAAAATAAAATTAGTGTAAGAATAGTACAACAGCTGTCACTTATATGGTAGATATAAAGTGTAAGAAAGAAGAAAAACAAGAGAAGAAAAGAAAAGGCATAAGAAAAAAAGAAAAAGCATAAAAAGAAAAGAAAAAGCATAAAAAGAAAAGTAAAGGCGTAAAAAGAAAAGAAAAAGCATAAAAAGAAAAGTAAAGGCGTAAAAAGAAAAGAAAAAGCATAAAAAGAAAAGAAAAGGCATGCAAAGAAAAGAAAAAGTATAGAAAAAGATAAATAGAAGAAAGATTTATATGAAAGATTGTCAACTAACGCTTATATTGTTGCAACTACCTAGCCGCATCTGGGCTATTTGTTGGTTTGTGGGAGGAAGAGTTTGTGTTGCTCCAAATGGGGACATAATTGTAGACATTGCTCTGTTTAGTTTGCTTGGCGTTTTATTGAAACTAAACGCTCGGCCGACTCTCGCTCTTGTACGAGATGCAAACCTAGAGAAAAATACAATTTGAAAATTTTTTGTATACTTGTATAGATTATTTAAATGAAACATTAAAACTTTTCTTCCTCCTTTGGACTTAATAATTATAAAATCTTTACTTAACGATCGATTATACGATAATAAAATTTATTTCACTTGGAGGAAAAAAAGTTTGCGGACAAGTTTGCGGAACAAAGAAGCCCTGCGTTAGGTCTACTAACAATAAGATATTGTTATGTTAAGAAAATCAGTTCAAGCAAACAGAATATCACTTGCTATGATACAAAGAAAATATAAGATATACATGCAGTTTTTTTCTAAACAATGTAATAAAATTCAATTCATTCAACCACACATGTAGCAACTGGAGAAGAAAATTGCACCATGGCTGCATATTTAATAAAATATCTACAAAAAGAGGAAATTTACACTAACGTACATTTTCTTGTATTTTCTTTTATATGTACACACACTTATACACCATACGGCATATAAAATTTATGTAAAAGAAAAATTCCCCAAAAACTTTTGTGCATATAAGTAGAAAAATTAAATCAAGCACGGCAAACAAATTTTTAGGACAAGATAAGCAACCAGTCAAACTGCAAATTAAATCATAATGAAGAATAATGTTTATCCATGTCAATTACGCTGAATTAAAATTAGTTAAAACACATACACATATATATGTATATTTTCAAGATGTGAAAAATATACAATTCCTCGTTCCTCGTTTAAAGAAATACAATGAAAAGTTTTTAATAGATAAAGCTTATGTTACATTGTGTTAGAATTGATCAGAATTGATCGGGGAATTATTTCTGAATAAAAGTATATTTAGTCATCACAGCATAAAACAAAATTTTTTAAGCAAAAGTTTTCAGTGGCGTAATTATAAATTTTCCTATTATTCAAAAGAATTTTAAAAAAGTTTTTTCTATTCTATTCGCAACATTAAAAATGTTAAAAAATTTGTACTTAAATTTTTTTATCGAATTCTTTCAATTCATACAAATTTTATATTTTAGTTTTCATGTAAATCTTTTAAATATTTGTAAATCTGCTATTATAACGAGCTGTTATATATTATTTACTTGCGCTTAATAACAATAATAATTACGCCACTGAATATAGGACTGAGAATAAAAAGCGAGTAAAAAAATATAATCAGCCTTGGTGCGAAAACTGACGGTAGTGGGACATGTAACGTGGTTTCACACATGCTATTGAGTAGGAAGACATACGGATCCATATACTCCAGGTAAAAATTATGAAATAGGCTCCTGTAACCAAACGAGTTGCCCTATTATTTCTTTACACCATGCAATACAGTAAAATATGTACACACTAAGACATAAATTATTTGATTGTGCCTTGTAGAAATATCTCAGTGCCATTTATAATTAGATCGTTCGAATATAAATAACATAAGCTTTTAAGTTTGCTGCTCAACAAATAATCTATTCGCTCAATCTGAAAGTAATGGCAGATAAAAATCTAACTGTAATAAGTACTGGTTGCATACTATTAATATTTTTAGCCACTGATAATTAAATATTAATATTTTCATTTAATCTATCATCATATTATCTTTTCATTCAAAATATTTATTGAGTAAAAAATAAAAAATTTTTATCAATATCCAAACAACCTTGAATATCCAGATAATTGAAGTTCTTTCTGTTAATATGTGACCTAATAGTAGAATTATCTAACTACAAATAGAAGAGAACAAAAGAAAGAAGTCAGTTCTCACACCTCTTTTAGAATATTTGATCAATATATCCCGTAAGAAAGAGATTTTACTACTCATCCTAATGTGAAAAGATTACTATTACTTATTTACAATATACTTATATTATAATATTTTTAGAGTAATAAATTAGACAAAGAACACAATTATTAGTGTCAAAGCACAAATATACTCACTTAATTGTTTTCTTTAACGTTCCTGATGCCACATCACTCGTACCGACTTCAAGCTGATGTGAATCGTATCTAATCAGTAATGTATCCTGATAAACAAAAAAATAAGGATAATGTAAATTAATATATAATTTGTAGTATGACATTTAAACCAAATTATTCATAGTCTGCCAGCAGATACAAGCAATCGTAGCAGATTGACATAAACTGCCTTTGTAGTTTCATTAAGTTTGCTTATGTTGTGCTGGCAGAGCTCAGATATGATGCAACAGCGTATTGATAGAAACCAAGTAGAATTTATCAAATGCAAAGCGATAAATTTTGCTACGTTTCTGCCAACATTCTATCAACAGCATTGCATATAGCAAACAGTGCATCAAATTTGTTTTCTGCCAACAAAATGTACAGTAAACAATTTGCGAAAGTTATTCTCAATAGACTTGGTTGTCTAAAAACGTACTTATACAATATAAAACAAATATTGTCACAAATAATATAACTTACAGCATCAGCTACACGAACAGCAAGAGCCATTTGCCTACACAAAGTCTGTAGATAATTCGTTTTGTTAACTTCCTCATCAGTAATTATGAACGAAAAGAATTTTTCCTTCAGCTCTTGAGTACCTCGTACCACGAGTGCAAATACTTTATGACATTCTGGAAAAATCGCACAATTAGCTACAAATTTAATTTAAAAAAAAAGTACATATCATATATATTATACATGACAATATTTACCGTCAGTTTCTCGTATATCCACTACTTTTCTGATAGTACTCAGTGACAACATTTTGATATGCTTGTATGGCTTCCCATGGCTTAGTTTCATTGATTGCAGGCCATTTATAGTATTAGGACTCTTTAACGAGTTAAAAGCTTTCGACCTTTTTTTGCATATTTCAAGAGTATCGGTAAACAGGAACAATACTAAATGATCACCTCGTCCACTAAGACCCTCCGTAACTTCCATTACATCACATTTACTGATAAATGACCTATGTGAGGAAACTAAATGCGGCGGGCAATTGTCAATCTCATTAAAGATATCAAACATTGCTAATTGGCGTTCTGTTTTCCTTTTGTCCTCATTTATGTACGTCATTACTTTTTTAATACAGCTAATAGAAGCTTCCAGTGCGCTATAATCTGGGTTATTTTTGTCCGTATGCTTAAGAATATCTGTAAAAAGGAAAAGCATTGTGTTAGGTTCCTAAAAATTTTTATTAAGTAAAAACGAAACAGTAAAATTATTTAAATATAATTAATCTTACCACTTAATAATAAACTAATACTGGGTAACCTTTGTATTGGTTTAATTAATAGCTCCTTTAAGCTTTGTCTACTGCACTCTGGTATTGTCTGGCAATTTTTTAAAAAAGCGTGGAATCTTGGTTTATCTTGATCACATTTTTCCAACATTTGTTTCGTGTTTTCGAAGAAGTTCACATATGGAGGATACGCTTTAACCAAATCTGGTTCAAACTTCAGAAATATTTCGCCAATGCTGATATCCTCTGTCCAATGAGCGGCGCTACAATGTAGTGCCTTCAACAATTGGTTATGAGTCTCGTAAATTGGTGGGAAATTACCAAATATAATTTTTACTTCTGTGCTATTTAGCAACTCTTTCCCACTTTTGTCTATGAGATTTTCCAGTGGTAATTTGAATAGCTGTAACCATAAAACATATAAATACAGATTATTAAAAATGATAAAAATATTTGACACACATTTAACGCACGGTGAATACTTGCAGTCATAATTGTATTGAGAATACCGACGTAATTCCCTTCAGTCTCAACTAGTTCGAGGAAAACTTTATGTCGCTGCGACAAATTTTCTTGGACTATTGGTAAATGTTCTGTAACAACATCAATCTGAATTAGCAATAAATAATTTTTATGCAACCAGCGCTTTTACATATGATTCATCTTACAAGTTCAATGATCAGGTAAAAATATATAAAAGCACTTTTAAGCATTAAACTTTTTATATGTGTCACGCTATAATAAGCTTTCTTGTTTTAAGATGAAAAAAAAGAATTAATGCGATATTATATTTTTTATACAAAACCAAATACACTTAAGATTATAAAAAATAATATTAGATACATACCATCCAGCAACTGTTTGTCCGGACTTGCTGTACAGTCCAGAAAACTTCCGCTGACACTGGCTGGCGAATCCGCTCCATTTTGTAGTAAATTAGATAATGGACCGTCTAACCAACAGGGGTGCTTTGCCAATGTCACATTTTGTGGTACGATCTGTTGACTGTCTCGTCTACCCGTCGCAGTAGGGGATAGAACTGTTTCTAGATACTAGAAACAATATACAATTTTAGATATTAAACAATAATCAGAATATTTAAGCTTTAATATTTTACGAAAATCATTGCTAACTTACATGTTCAAAGAGATACTCCTTCTCATCAGCGGCTGCCTCATTTTGTACAGACGTCCAAAACCATCCAGTTTTGACTATGAAAGCAGACACTGAAACTAAACTTGGACGAACATTTACGCTGGACTCGTCTACGACCTGTAATAAAAAAATAATTAGTCTCAGTCTCTACTAATTATACTAAATACTAAAAGAAATACTTTACAATACATTGCGACTTCATATTTGTGTGTCTTTGCATGACCATGAGTAAAGTTAAAAGTTGGAAACTTTCAAAAGTAGTAAATAATACTGATCATGATATAATTTTCATTGTGTCACGATAAACAATAGAATCACAAGACAATTATACAATTTGACATAATTTTATGCAATATTTCTACACTACGATATACATGCTAAATTCTGAAGACACAATATGATATACTGTATGCCGATTCCGGTTTCGTGTAAAGTGTTGTGTTAAATCAACGGTTTTTATTGTTGGATTGACTCGGTTCTTTGACTCATAGAGCATATATCTGTGTCGTGATCGACCACATTACCATCACCTTGTACGTACATATACCATACGTTAATATTTTGTTAATGTTTTTATACAAAGATAAATTCTGGTTAAGTATACAGGACATTCACATGGAAACGAGCAAATTGTCTGTATTATTAGAATCAACGTGTAACATATATTGTATATATGTATAAGTTTAATTATTTTTTGCACAAATTAGTTAATACCACACCCGCTTTAGGTTGCCTGTCCTTTACATAGAGCCACGTAAAATTATTTTATTTCACAGAGAAAATTACCAGACCCCAAATTTTTCAAACAAAAGATTAAAGATAAATACCGCGGGTAGTGATATATCCGTCAGTGTCTCCAAATCTGTGTACTCGGTTTTCATGTCGTGTGATGCAGATGACACATTGTTACTTTTGCCATCGGATATAGAAGTGTTTCGTAAGCTGTGTTTACTATTTGAGATTTTTGTAGGCGTTGGAAAAGACTTGGATAAAGATGTGTATTTCTTTTTGAATAGGGTTTTTTCAGGAGGAGAACAGCGAGAACTCGTGAAAATGTCTTGCTTATCAGAAATTTTTGGACTGAAAGAAAAGTGGCTGATTTTAGAGAAGAAAGATGTGTGTGATTTAGATAAATGCTTATTCCGTTGAACTAATGCATTGTGTAAAAATGTATCGCTGTGCTGTTCCTCGCTGTGCTTTAATATAATCGGATACGAGCGCGTTTTCATGAATTTATACTTTTCAAGCGTCGGCATTTTATGAACAAACGTGCAGGAATTAGTTTTTCCCCATTTTATATATCGTTTGGGAATTATTTTGGCCTTCGATGTATTATTCTGTACGTAATGAATATTTTTGCGATATTTTAAAGACAACGCGTTATTGTTCGTTGGCGATACAAAAGGATTGCATTCGTTATTTTTTTCACAAGATAACAATTTATAATCACTCGTTTTATCTGGAAAGTTTAACATAGTTTCACAAGGAGATAGTTCGTTATCGAACAGAGAGCTCTCGGAAGTACAGAACTTAACGTTTTTCTTGTTTGTCATTGTCGACATAGCTGGAATCGAATATTTACTCGATATAGAAATAGCAGACGAACTAGACGACTTGGTTATGTCTGCCCCAGAATCACTTTGCTCTGTGAAAGAATGAAACAAGTTTCCAGATTTAATAATTGAATTTTGCAAATCAGAACTCATACTAATAGCAGAATCTTGGCTGATATTATATATAGAAACGAGGTCGTTCCACGGGTCACTTTGTTCTGCATCGCGTGAGGCGAACGAATTGTTTTTCGAAGAATAAACCGACACATTTCTACGATCAATTTTTTGTGTGTTAAAAGCCGCGTTCGAGTAAGGATTGTAAAGAGAGGAGGAAATTGGTTTAATATGCGTTAAGGAACATGGACTGTTGGGCGAGTTTTTCAGATACAAGTCCACATTGTTGGCTCTCTTGTAGAAAAGACCGGGTATATCTACCACCTAAAGCACGTGTATATCATTTATGTAATACTGTGTAACGGGGCGTCGTGTGAATATATTCAAAAAAGAATTTTGCACCTAAACTAAAGTGACCAATTTTGAGGTCTTTATCTCAATTGAATGCTCTAATAATTTTCTTTTATTTTTTAAAAGTATTTTTAAACAAAGTTTAGAATATTACGAAAAATATTAAAAGACCACTTGTAGAAATACAAGTTGATTTCGGCATCCCTGTATGCTAAACGTATGTCAGTTACTGATCTCTCAGGTAAAGAATTTATGAATAATATAATTTATGAATATGAATAATTAATGATATCCACTGACCACATGAGTGCAACTCGGATCGTCGATTTCAGTAGGTTCACCACCCTGCTGCTCCAAAACTTCCCTCATATGTTTCTTCTCTTCATCGGGGAATCCGGAGAAACACACCTTCGCCCCGTAGAAGGGCTTCAGCCTGTAAGTTGCTATCTGCAATTAACATTAAATTACATTTTTGAGAAAGAGGCAGCCCTCTTATCGTAATGTCTCTATTAAAGCTCTCGAGTGAGAACACTACCTGCTTCGCTATCGCGCTCAGAGATAACAATAGAGAGATAGAGAACGAAACGCAGATTCTGCACAGAGATTGTTTGTTCACACATACACGCGTGCGTATTCTCTCTCTCTATCTCTTTACCGCTACGGTTCAGTGGCGCTCAGCAAGCGGCGCGCCGTGTTAGCGCCTTCAATTAGAATTTCTTAAGCAACGCCGAGCATAACAAGTTATAACTGTTGCAAACTAATGTCGTAATTAATCGGTTGAATCAATTTTGGTCCACGTCACGAAACGAACCCGCACTTTGGAATCGCTCTGTTGTTCAAATATACCTGCGCCACTTACCAATCTCTCATTGTTCGCATACGTGGAGATATCATCTTTGGCCTTCCACAATTCTTTCACCCACTCCAACGACATGATAGGCAATCCGAATGTGTCAGCGTATCTGTACTTCTCTCCACTGCAATGATTTGCAATAAGATGCGTCACTTTAATACCCATCTCCTTTCGGATGCTGCCTCCCATACTAAGAATCATATTAGCCGACTTGCGCTGTTGAGAAAGAATACGACGTTAGAAAAAACTATGAATCGCGCGCGAACCGATTAACATCGTGCAAATCATAAATATACATGACTGACCAGTTCATCCTCTCTCGACCGAAAACCGCTAAACACCACTATTATGCCTACCATAGCTTGCGTGTACATTGGTCTTTTAATACTAGGCAAGGACTCTTTCTTCTCTGCCAGTTGCAGCAGAACGGTAGGTCCCAGTACTCTGGAAAAAAAAACAACGTAAATCGCACACGAATACTTTTCCTCCCGACGTCAGAATTACAAGCGTCGCGTATTTTCCCTTCAACTGTTATGTACATTATAAAAATACAACACGCCGTGTACAAACCTGTGAGCACTCTTGCACAAGGCATCGTATTCGGACCCTTCGAAGTGTTTGAGTACAAAGTAAGTATTGTAGGTAGTGTCTTCAACATATTCCGTGCCGGTTTCAGACCTAAGTACAGGCACTTTGAATTGTTGAGCAGCAGCATTAAGCGCAGGGTCATTGCAAGTTGCACCAACTAAGCATATCCTCTTCTTACGTGGTATTATTAAAGCTAAGATAAACAGATGATCGCTCCGTTATTAAACGTTGCTCGGCAATGTTGGTAATCGTTTACGTTGACTAAATTGTAGCAGCGGTACTGAGCTCGTTAAGAGAGAACTTTCGACACACCAGGTGATTCAACATCTCACTCCACAGCTTGAACGCGCCATTAGAGGAAAGTTCCCTGCTACGAGATAGGATCCTAATATGGGTAGCGGGGTTTCTGTTAAATTAATAGGCATCGTCAGTCGATTCCACCATGAATTTATTGCCCTTGGAGTGAAATCCGTTCGGTGGAAAATTCATCGTTGGATCGTGTACTCGTCGCGGTAGATTTGTGGTCGAATTTGGGCGTTGAAAACCTGCTATCTCGTATTAGCAACCTAGCGCATAACAGAGGCCTTTCCTCTCTACATTAATTTACAAGGACTGTATAATAAATAGTCTCGTCTGGGCCGTCGAGCGGTTCAGCCATTGCATTGTTCAACTCATATCAAGTCTATTGGTTCGACGTGGCCGTGTCGGCTCAGTATCTGTGAGCCGGGAGCCAAAAAACCGGAGGAGAAGATGTATAATAAATACCGCTCCGTGCAATTTGTTCGGAGAACTTTCAACATTTCATTCTATTGCTCGCGAATGCGCCGCGTTCAAAGAGATTTGAGAGAATAACATTTTGCAAAAACTATATACTTAATAAATATTGCCACGTATAACACGTGATACTACAATGCCGTAGCAACAATAATTGGCCAGGCAATGCTGCTCGAAAGGAAAAACGAAAACCAAGGGCGACAATTGGCTCTCTCTCTCGGCGATTAGAAATCCTTTATTCGCGTGTAGCGCACGTGAATAAATAAGAAATCTCCGCTCGCCGATAGATCATAACACCGCCTCGGGTTTCCGACAGGCAGACTCGTCGGAAAACGCTATTCTTAGTCGTGTCAGCGAGCCTGTAAAATTTTCAACGCTGTTACACAGAGTACACGGGCTCTATCTCGTATCATAGGCAACGGGAAGTCGGCGTGTGCATGTGTACATCTGTACGCGCCATTCACGTGCTCGGCGTAAGATAATTAACTCGCGAAAAGCACGAAGGACAGAAGGAGCGAGGGAGAGCGCGCGTGCGGCGCGAGGGAGCGAGAGGGGAGACGGAGGCGGGACGAGAGGGGGAGATAACAGAAACGGACGGTCGCGAAATAAGTAGCCGCGAGGAACGGCGATGTGCTTAACGTTCGAGGGGAGAATCTCTCGCGGGAGCCTCATCCTCGCTCGATGTAATTTTGGGAGATCCAAGGCCGAGCTCGCGGATACTAAAGGACGAGGGTCACAAAAGACCCCCATTCTCTCCCCTCCGCCGGTTATTTTCTTTCCTTTCCTGAAAGAAGGCATTCCGTCCTGCTCTTTCCAGAAGGTTCGCGAAGGATACCGCCGAGTTTGAAAGCGAGGAAGGACGGATCGGTCCGTTAGGCGAGTGTGTACACAAGCTTCCGCGGACTTCCATTTTCACGCTAGACGCGCGGCGGGGGCTCTCCGTCGACGGGCGAGAGAGAGAGAGAGAGGGAGATATTGAAAATCGCGCGGAAGACCCGCGGTCTCGGAAGGAAGGACTCGACGGCAGATGCGCCTCGCGAACGACGTCACCACTCGACGGCGCCACCGACGCACGTTGACAGATTCGCGGCTCTTACTTTTGCTCGCCTCCGCACTATTTATATCGCCGATACTGCCGTGGACGCTACGCTCTTCCATCTTGCCTGGGGAGAGTCCCTCGGTGCCTCGCGCGCGCAGACCTCGCCGAACGTGTCCTCCCGTCCCCGACGTGCAACGACACTCGTCCGTCCCGTCGGCGATAAATTTAAAAAGCCGCCGCGCAAGCGACAGCCGCGAGCTCGTCCTCCGCGCCACCGCCACCCTCGTGTCCAACATGAACGTCACTCGCGACCGTCGCCCGCTACCTCGGCGTAGGGACGGAAGCCGACTCTTCCCGAAATCGCACAAGCGTAGCCAGCGTCGACGGCGACGACGGACAACGACCATCGACCAACGAGCACCAGCCGCGACTTCGCCTCTCCCCCCCCCCCCCTCCGTGTATGTCCCGTGTGCTGTTCAACCCCACCACCGGGCCTTTTCGTTGAGATCGCCGAAACTCGTCTCTTCTCGCTACTTCCCGCGCGTGCGCGCCACCTTCCGCTCCTCCTCCCTGCTGAAACGCACCGCATTTCGCGCGACGCGGTGCGAACAGTCTGTTCTTTACGACAGCCGTAGGTCCTTGCTTTTTCTGCGTTCAGACGCGAAACAAGTATGCGATTAGTCATTGGAGAGAAATGGAGAGAATAGAAAATTAATTCTTTCAATGTTTATTTACATATGGGGAAATTGAAGTAACTAGATTCCACCACATATTCAAAGAAACGGAAAACATTTCTATAAACATTTTGCAGAATAAACCATGTGAAAACAAATTTCATACATTTTGCTAAATATCAGGCGGTGTTACCGAAAATACATACTCAAAGAAACGGAAAACATATATTGCTAACATTTTGCAAATGTGATAATGAATTTCGTACATTTTGCAAAATGTCAGGCGTTTTTACCGAAAATTCATATCTTATTTTACATATTTTTACCATATATTTCACATATTTCACCGAAAATAATATCTATAGAAATATTTTTATAGAAATATGTTTTCCGTTTCATTTAATATTATGTTTCATAATATAAGGCAGAGAAAAACGTAAGCCATGGAACACGTGTTCCTTACGGCTTATGTTCGGCTAACGATGGATTCGACGTCGATCGACGAATCATTTCTCACTGGGTTCTGGATGGTAGGAATCGTACTGTAGGTGTTCCTCTTCATCGCTTCATCGCATCTCATATAAGTAATAAAGTTGTGTAATTTAAAATTCCAAGAATGGCAATTTCGAAAACCCTTACAACTTTAAATCGTGAAACTCAAATTAAATATAATAAGGAGTATTAGGAAAATAATTATATACCAGATATTAATCTGGCAGAATAATGTAGTACGTACATTTTAAATGTTCAATTTTTCAAATATTTTTTTTATTTTTTCGTTTGCAATACAAAATACAACAAAATTTTTCAATCTATGAGCCTAAAAGTATCTGTTTTGTACGTCTTGTTATTTACACAAAATATCAAGTTACTGTGTTTAAAGTAGAACTTAACTCGTAATATTAACTGCATGTGTTTAAATCATATTACAATTGAACTTGCTTATCCAAAAGTAAAAGATAAATTATTTATGCAATTAACGTTATAAAAATTTCTGTACAAAATTAACCATAAAAGTACACAGTAATATCTTACATTAAATACAATTTTAATCAACATTTCGTGTTCTTGAAATTATGGATACATATCAAAATGTACCATATCCATTTCCGATTTTCACTTATGAGAAAGTACCAAAATTAAAGGTAAAATAATGCTTTAAGTAATATAGGAACTAAGCGGTGTAACAATATTTCAAAAGCAATATCTCAAACGCTAAAAAAAACATTGAGTGGTATATGGCTCAGATAGTCTACATGTATCTATGATCTTTTTTTTTAAGATCTATTTAATAAAATTTGCAAAAACGCTAAACTCTCACATCACGACAGGCAATTTTGTTTAATATATAGTGCTATTCAAATATCATACAAAATCCGTCAAGCATAGCATCATCAGCAGTTGTTGTATGAAAATACATCTAAACTTGTAAGGTAATAAATAAAAATTGCACGTTCATTTTGGTCAGAAAGTATATGTGCCTTTTCAAAGTAATTAGTTATCATTTGGAGTGTAGATGTTCCTCTTCATCATCACTGTAATCATCGCTTAAATAATGATTATTTGGTGAAAACTCAAAGCGTCCCGTTTTCTTCGGTGGTGGACTGCAAAATGAGATACACAAGATAATTTCAAATACAGCCAGATACGCGTGAGAGATGTTTCATAGAGAATACGTATATTATAAAAGCCGCACCTTGTTTGGTCTTCATCATTGTGACTACTGTTACTACTGCTTGGACTGCTGTCCCTTTTCGGACTTGCCGGTGGAGATAACGCTTGCATTAAACGACCTTTGCTTTCATTCCAAATTGTTGACTGCAAGTAAACACTTTTAATTTATCTTTATACAGTTTACACGTAGTCAGTAAAGGAAGTTGAAAAGCGCGCGTACAAATGTATGCAGGTATGTACATACCAATCTGCCTTCTCTGCCGAAGAGTAAGAGGAAAGCATCAATAAAATCCCGAGATTTCTCTTCCCACTTGCTTATCATATCCATGCGTTTCTCGCCAATGTTTTCCATCACTCGTTTTCCCTTATCTTTTAGGTCATCAAACTTGTTTTGTAGACGAAACTTTTTCTCCTGTAAGATTCTTCTTATCAGCGTATTCGTTATAATTGATGGTTATATCATATCCATCTTTCAATATAATTATAAAGTAGTGCCTTCTTTTTAAATGCAACAACGCAAACGTGACAAACAAATATCTTTCTTTACGCAGTAATTGATAATCACTTACATTGAGAAAAGACACGTTGAGTTCCTTTGCGCTGTAGCCTCGCGCGAGATTTCTTCTGACGTATATGTCATAATCTTTGACTATCCTCGCAACTATGTCCGACGTGGAAACACCCTCCGTTCTCTGCGTGGCGACGAACATACCTTTAGCTTTTAATCTCGCATAAACATCCGATCCATCATCCGTCATGTATGGTATGTCATCGTGAGCAACAAAGTCAATCTGCAATACAATACAGTTCGTTCAATTTCCAAAATGCTGCGCGGCATTTAATTATGCAAATTTCAGGGCGTGAAAACGTGAGTGTACCTTGTGCTTCTTTATAAATTCATCATCAAGCTCCCAGGGTGCATCCCGAACAACTTCATCTACGTATCTACAATGTTTAACGGCATCATACCTTTCTAAGTCAGTCATTACAGTCCTTCCTTTTTTGCTATGTGTCAATTCATCGTTACACACTATAAAATAAAATTATCGGGTTAACGTCATACGAGTATAATAATTTATTTTAGTAATACAAGAGAGAAGTAAATAAACATGTTTCGTAATTATAAGAAGCATTTAAGATGTACCGTCTTATTCACATTAATGGCTGGACCTCAGTTTTGCTAGGATTCACATTTTCATAATCTTTATTCCCCGTCAGTACATCGAGTTTCAGGTTGTAGTTCACACAGCTTCTATAGAAGTTTGTGGTAGCACAGACATACTGCCTCAAACTCAGTGATTTGTATAGAGGAGAAAAATGCAGGTCCAGACATTAATGAATAAGACTGTACGTATTAAATGATACAGTCTTCATAGATAATATTGCGTACCTCCAACAATAAGATAAACATTTGGAAAAATATTCTTAGCTTGTAAAAGTTGCCGTGCGTGTCCTTGATGAAAGAGATCATAAATACCATCGGCATAAACTCTAATTTTCCTAGGAACTAAAAAGAAACAGACACTTCTTAATACACAGAGATGAGAAAATTAAGTAATATTTAACACTTTTGATTAAGGAACGCGTTAAAACGTACCTTTACCACTTCTTGCTTGTTTTAGAGTAATTCGCGTGTTATAGTCGCACGCGTTCCTCTCCGCGATAGCATCTGGATCGTCGCTGAAGGGCGCCTCTTTACAGATCGACTGGAATAAATGACAAGGAAACAGTTAACACACGAGACGATAAATAATAGTCCGCTAAAATTAATTGGGTTGTAAACATAACAAAATAGTGACTTATACGTGTGCGACGTTGAAAGGAAAAAAGCTGTTATCACGTTGTTGCATCTTGAAACATGCAAGTTCACGAGCGTGACGGAATAAAAATCTTTATGGTTTCGAGATTAAACTATATTTATCATAATTCTTCGGCGTATGTCGCACAATAAAGTTATTCTTTTTTTTTTATGTAGGTATTATACGACGACGCGAAGAAACGGAGCAGGCACAAACTTACTGGAAATCCATCCTGATAAACGGAAACTTGATCGTTACAATTCTTTAAAAACATCAAACCCGCACCGCCATTTGCGTGATACTTTTGCTTGGACCCCCACGTCATTGTACTCTCGATACAACTCGGTTACACAGACAGAACTTTTGTCCCAAATATAGCAGTCGATATTTTGTTATTTAAAAGCGCACGATATAATTCAAGAGTGAAAAACTGTGCAACCGCATTTGGCCGCTTCCCGATGGCGAGTTGCACAAACAAAAAGTCGTATTGCACGCTTAAATTCAACGACACGCCTCGCTTCTAGTCCGCGCGAGAACTGTGCGAGCAATAAAGCATTTCCGAGCTTTTATCGCGTTAGATTATGCCAATCTAGAATCACGCCAGACTATTATCAGTTAAAAAGCAATGTTACGTATTATCTGTAGACCACGCTCTCCGCGTCAACGATTGGCCCCTTCTTAATATTGTATATAATAACAGTAGACACAATATACAGAGTTTACAGCACGCACACGTGCGCCGCGCGTCAAACGCGCTAACGTTGCAGTCTCACGAGGCTGAGCACGAGATAAATACATACATGTGCGTTAATCTACACGCGATATGCCGTATAAATATTACTTTTAAATGTATGCGCGATCCCCTCCCGACGAAAAGGTCATTCGGCAAGTAGCGAAAATAGATCTCTCGGGGAAAGAGAGTGGGTTTTGCCGATTAACCCTTTCACGGCCACCGGGTCACATAAGTCCCCCCCTCCGCTTCGCGTCTCTTCGGTGCATTTCCGGGGCTGGTGTCCCACTTAGAAAAATGCCAGCGATAAGTAATTCAGACGCGAGGGGGTTAAGGCGGCCCCGCGGCGGCGTTTGCGCGCCGACTCGCTCCTACGCTCCGCTTCTCGCGTCGAGCTATCAAAACGCTTACGGCGTGAACCGGAGAGTCTTCCCTCGAGCAGGACGCACGTTCTCCATTGACGCTGTTCTGGTGGGACGCGGTGGCCAGCATAGTTTCCTCCCGGGTGCGCTTCCTGGACATTTTCCTACGTTCGCCACGGCGTTGCCATGCAGCCCCGGGTTTAACTGCAAGCGAACAAGCTAGATTACACTCCGGACGTGACACGTCTGGCCGCCGCCGCGACAGCGGCTACGTGGGCGCGAGGAAGTAACGCGTCTCGACCGAGCGATCGCGAGCGTTCCGCTCCGCGTGAGCGGAACGTCCTCGCTCGAGATCAATCTCGGAATGGAAAGAGTTCGGCGAGTCACATCGTCGCGGGCGAACGGCGGGCGCGTGCGTCCGCGGCATCCTCCGCCGGAGACTCCGGAATCCGCGAGGCGACGACGCGACGCGTCGTGGCGTGGCGTGGCGTGGCGTGGCGTAACGCGATGCGACGCGACGCGGTGCCGCGCCTGCGAGCCGCGTGCCACGCACGCCCGGCCGCGTCACGTCGCTCCCTTTCCGTCGAGGGAAAGGTACGCGGCGCGCGAGAAAGGGCCGGCACTTACGACAGTTACGACACACACGCGCGTAGGCGGCTGATCCCCTTTTCCGCGAGTCGGCTCCTGGGAACAATCGTGGGCTCGGGGGAGACGCTCGTGCTTTTAATATCGGCGGATCCACCTCGGGCTGACCGGAATTCCCGCGAGAGACCGCGCTCGAACGACCGGGGGACTCGCGGCGGAATGGAGCGGAGCGGAGCAACTCGCCTGGCGCGGCTCTAGCGAAACTGCAACGTGTTCGCTCGGTTGCGCGAGTCGCCTCGACAGCTGACCCAGCAGCAGACGCTCGCGTCGCGATAGGTCCGTTTGCGGTGTGTCCGCGCTCCTCGCACCTACGCATCTTCCCTCCTTCTCTCGCGGCCCCGCCGTACCGTCGTCACGTTTCGGGCGCAGGGGAGTGCGAAACCTCGCTCGCGACGGGGGTTGCTAGGCCCGCGGCGGCGCGCGTTGCAGTACGCAGGACGGACCGACGGACGCGCTCGTTCTCCGAGTTAATTTGAGTCGCCGAGAGAGAGAACGCACGAATTTTGTATGCGCGCGGAGAGGAGAACCGACCAATCGCGCGGCCCGACGGGGAAACGCGCCGCGACGATTGGCGGGATTTGAATCCGCGAACGAGCGTTAACCACACTCCGGCCAGGGTGGGGATTGTGTAATTTTCCACGTGAAAAACTTGACGTCAACTCAATGATTTCGGCCAATGACATTATACTATATTCGCGTGAAACTTTTCATCTTTCATGTTTCCGCTCTAGGGGAAAAGTTACACCTTCGCTACCCTGGAGACTGGTAAAACGGAGAAACTGCCTGCGACGCGGGTTTCGACTATTCTTCCAGGTCAACTCTGTATCTTACAATGTAGTGCAAAATGTTAAAAGTAGGCGGCTTTGTCTCTTTCTAAGAGGACAATTAGAAAGAGACGGAACTACTCGCTTTTACTATAGCATTTTCACCATAGTACATAACTAGTAGGTCCACTCTCTGCCGGCCCCTTTGCTGATTCGTGACTCGCAGAAATTCGTTGGACATAACTGGGACAACTTTCAACCTTTACCGTATATTACAGGACTTGCACAAGTCTACAATCAAGCCAACGGCACGCGATACTATTTTTTTCTACTGGATTTCTTGCGAGAGCCAATCGGGATGCAGAGTTTTGGATCAGGTGACTTAAAGCTAAATCCTGATTGGCTCTCGTAAGCAATCGAGTGGGGAAAAATATAGTGTCGTGTGCCGTTGGCTTTAGTCAAGTTTCAATATTAGTCAAAGAGCCACTACTTCCGTCAAAACACCGGTCGGCTAGCGAATCACTGCGAGCGGCGAATCGACAACTTTTTCCTCCGCACTATTCACGAATATACGAATCGAGAATTATGGGCATTACGAATCACGCATAGTGCAGCGCTAGCTTAAGATACTGAATCGACCCTCTGAATCGAGATTCGTTATTTCGTTGTTCGAAATCAGCTCGGACGCTAAGTCACTTAAGATCGGCATCTCTCGCCGGAATTCCGATTAGCCCGAGCTGAGAGGGGGGGGGGGGGGGGGTATGAGAACTGATATGAAAGCCTGTAGGTCACGTCTTTCCGATCTTTCTTTCCGAGCCGATTACTCGCAGTAGCTTCGTGTGCGTTATTAGATATAGCTTCTATATAGCGATAGACTTCCAAGGAATATTCCGATAAAGCGGATTCGGCTACCGAATTAATCAAGACCGTCTTGAACTTGTCTAAAGACGCTGTATGGAACATTTTATTGGCCACGGAGTATCTAAAGATGATCTTGAGACAGTCTTGAATATATAAGATCTGACTACTGTAACTGTAACTAGACTGTTACTTTTACAAAGTAACTGTTTACAAAGTTACTTTTACAAAGTAACTTTCCTAACCCTGATATATGTATATTACATTTGACTATTGAACTTCCTCCACGTAGATGAGGCAGGAAGAAACACAGAGCCGATCGTTTGTCGAAACTTCGCCACGCACGCGAGTTCTTCCACGCGGCGGGCGATCTTGCGCGCATGACCGATCGACGGTATCGCCGCCGTTTGTTTCGACGCCCCGGCGCGGTCCTCCTTCCGCTTTCTCCCCGTATTTTCGCGCTTCTCGCGACGTACCGTTACGAGCGCACACGCCACTCCGCCGGCGTCCCGTAGAATCAGCTCCGCGCTAATTAATATCGGACGCGCCCCGTTAAGCGAGCGAAAGAGGTCGATTTACCAGGCGTCTACGCGCGATAAACCGTTCAAAGAGTTGGTTCCTCGCGCGGCTGAACCATCTCCGTTTCCGTTTTCCGCTTAATCGTACGTACATTAACACTCGTTTCACGTTT